AAGGACAGTGCTCTACCACTTGAGCCACAGCGCCACTTCCAGCTTTTTCTGCTTATGTGGTGCTGAGGAATTGAACCCAGGGCCTCATGCATGTGAGGCAAGCACTCTACCACTGAGCCACCTTCCCAGCCCCTATATGATTTTTAAAACTTTTACTTTTTTAAACTTATCAGGAGCTGGCAGTGTAGCTCAGTGGGACAGTGCCTCCAGGACCCTGGGTTCGGTCTGCAATATTACAAAAACAAAAAATTACTATTGTGTCCTTAGTTCTTCTGGATTACTGGGAAAGATTGTGAGACTAATAATTGCCCAGAGGACATTTGAATTTGGAAGCTCACATTAAATACTTTATCTACTGAGAGATTCTTTTTTGGTGGGAGGTAGGGGTTGGTCATGGGGCTTGAACTCGGCCTCAGCGCTGTCCTTCGGCTATTCAGTTCAAGCCTAGCACTCTACCACTTGAACCACAGCGCCACTTCCGGTTTTCTGGTGGTTTATTGGAGATAAGAGTCTCATGGACTTTGCTGCCTGGGCTGGCTTTGAACCGTGATTCTCAGGTCTCAGCCTCCTGATTACAGGTGCACCTGGCCTGAGAGATTCTTAAATACAGATTCTGATGTATGAGTGCAGTAAATTTGTGGCTCTACTATAAATCCCAAAGGAAGACTAGGTTTTGAAGAGGATGCAGCTAAGTCTCAGATACCAGCTTATCTATTTCCTTATTCTTCCAGGACACTTAACTGATAGTGAATGTAACCAGAAACACACATCCAAGAAAGGGTCCCTGATAGAGCGCAAGAGGAGCTCTGGCCGTGTTAGGAGGAAGGGCGATGAGCCCCAGGCCTCAGGGTACCATAGTGAAGGTAATTTCTCTGCATTGCTCCTCTTTACCAAACTTGTACCATACTCCAAATTGTTATTATCTCCCTTTAGCTCAAAGGGCTTTTTTCCTTGCTTTCTAGATGTTGGGATATGGGTATTTGTGATCACTTTTAACATCTATATTTGTTTTATTCTTTGTGTTTTCAGGAGAAACACTAAAAGAGAAGCAGGTTCCTAGGAATGCCTCCAAACCACCCAGCAGCACCAACAGGCTAAGGGATTTTAAGGAGACAGTCAGCAATATGATACATAACAGACCATCCCTGTCTTCTCAGACCAATGTAGGATCTCTCTGTGGGGGAAAGGGAGGAGACCAGGCTGACAAAAAAACTTCTAGAAACCTGCCTTTACATTCTCGTGACTGGGAAGTGGAGAGTACCAGCAGTGAATCCAAATCAAGTTCTTCCAGCAAGTATCGCCCAACGTGGAGACCAAAACGAGAGTCTCTGAATATTGACAGTATTTTCAGTAAAGACAAAAGGAAGCATTGTGGTTATACACAGCTTAGTCCCTTTTCTGAAGATTCAGGTGAGGAGATAATCAGGGAAAACACAGTTATTTGTATGTGTTCTGGTAGACCTGGAAAGGAGTATTTTTACTTTGATATCAAAGTAAATAAATGTCTGGATGGTAGAGTGATTAGTTAGATCTTTATTTAGGCAAATGTTAAATCTATCTTGTCCTCTTATCTGGATAGCTAAAGAATTTACACCAGATGAACTAAGGAAGCCACCTGCTTACAACATTAAAGCTGGTGGAGCAAGCTCCCAGCACAAACCCTGGGGTCAAGCATGGCCAGGCTCTCACCTTTTAGATCAACATCCACGCTTAATCCAGAGAATGGAATCTGGCTATGAAAGCAGTGAGAGGAACAGCAGCAGCCCTGTCAGCCTGGATGTAGCACTACCAGAGAGTTCAAACATCTGCAGGTATTGTTTTATTTTTGAATAGAGGCATTGTCCCATGCAGCAAAGTGAGTTATTTCTTTGGAGCTCTCAACCATGGCTTAGACAGTAGAAAGATGGGCTTCAGCCCCATCTGTTCATACACGTTCCCAACTTTTGTAGCAGCAGCACTTTCTGCTGAAAGGAAGATTCAAGGCACTTGAGAAAGGAAAAAGTTAAGTAGAAAGTAATTGTTTAGTGCTCAGCAAAGTACATACAGAGAAGATAAACCATAGCTCTTTGATGAAAGGTGATGTGCAAACTAGTGAAATGTTTCACATTTTTCAGATATGTAGGATGAACAAATCTAGAGATCTAATATATAACATGAGGAATATTGGGATTAAAATTATACTATAATGAAATTGATGTTAAATGAAATTTTAGCTGCTTTTGCTACAAAATGTACAAGAGTAGCTGAGATGATAGATATGTTAATTTTGCTTTACTTATAGTATTTTTTATTATCTATATTTTTACTATCATACTTATAGTATTTTTTTACTATCTATATTTTTACTATACATCATGATATACCTGGTCTAATTTATTTTGTTTGATGTTACTGGGATTTGAATTTAACCTTGTACTTGCTTGACAGGCATTCTACCACTTAAGCCAAGCCCCAGTCTTTTTTTGCTTGTTATTTTTATATAAACTCTTGCCTTTTTACTGGGGCTGGCTTTGGCCTTGATCCTCCTTTCTAAAACTTTGTGTAGGTAGAGTCATACCACCATGTGAGGCTTAGTAAAAATGTATTAAAAAAAATTATACTAGCCAGGGCTGGGAAGGTGGCTCAGTGGTACAGCGCTTGCCTTGCATGCCTGAGGCCCTGGGTTCGATTCCTCAGCACCACATAAGCAAAAAGAAAAAA